CAAATTCTTCCAAATTATTACATCATCCCTTGGTGCGGATCCCAAATCCCTTTATAAACCTCTCCACCTTTCTTCTGGGCCTCGGTACTTCTCAACCACGACGATCTCATTAACCTTGCCACGCCAGCTACGATTATCGCCAGCCATATCTGTGGACTCGGCAGTTACTCGGCTCTTCATCTTCTCGAAAGGACTATTCCCCCTCGGAGTCCCCTTTGTCGAATCTCCTGCTCAGCAGGCCACTTTGTTCGTCAGAACCCAGACTTTACGCCTTGTATATTGTTGCTATTGTCTGCTTGCAGTAAGTAAGACATAAATTTGTCATTTATCTAATTGGCCCTCCAGTCTACGCACCACGCCACACAGCGACCCACACACGTAAAACAACCCCATCTCATAAAAATTTTTACTCGATGCAGTCTGTCTATGTGTTTTATCCCTTAGCTGTAAACACAGACCGGACTATGCATGAGGGTAGGGCTGGGAACCGTCAGTACAGCCTCCTACCCGCCATGTACTGAAAGGACATGTAACTATTTTGCAAGACGGAGATGTGAAAGAAAAAGAGAGAGAGAGTGGAAAAGTGCAACAGCATGAAAGCAATAAGAGTGTGGAGGAAAGTAAATCCACATTGGTCCTTATCCTAAATATTTTCTGTTCTAAATGATAATTGAGGAACCAATTGAAGTTCATCTGCTCGGCCATTTGGTTTCGTTTTTTCTACCATCCCTACTACCAGAGAGTATTTATTAATTGGAGGCATGCACCCCGCGTGCGCGGTATCGAAGAGCCTGGCCTAGACAGCTGCTGCTGCTCGGCGTATGGGGAGCATTCTAGTAACATCACTGACCGGGAATTACCCTGATGATCGCCCAAACGGCCTTGGTGTTGTTCTCGATAAGCTTGCCTGACGATTTACGACAGTTTTCTAATTTTAATTTTAGATGGTATGTGTTTATGTAAGAAATAAGGGAATAAAAGGGAATGTGAATAAGTTAAAATCTGAATAGGAATGTTTCGGTCAATCTTGGCCTTCGTTTTGCGCCCTGAAGAAGGAGGGGAGTGGGGCAGCTCAACGGGTTTTGCCAACAGAAACATTCAGCAAGCACTTATAATCCATTCCAAGAAGCTTCTTTAACATTTGCTGAGCATTAACACATCGTCGTTTTGAACTTTGCCGTTCCAAGATTACCTTGAAGTTCCTTGCCGACTGTGAGTTAGAGATCCGATAATACAAAGGATAGAAGTTTTCCTGTCTTTCTCACTTTGTTTTCTCCTTCACTCATATCTATTTCTTCCTGTCATCTGTCTTGCAAACTGGACACATGACTATTCAAAACATGGCTGATGATTCCTGCTCCTACCCGCATGCACTGTTCGGTCTGTGTATACACAGCTAAGGGATGAAACACACAGACTGCGTCATAAAATCTCTTAAAACGCATGACATTCAAGTGAAATTCTTCTATTCTTCTTTTTTATTTTTGCTTATTATTATATTGTGCATCTTTTTGGCTCTTTTTACTTACCGCTGCCTTTTTGGTTTCCTCCAGCTTCTTTGAGAAGCACTGCTTTTTCTGTTTTCCCACCTGAAAATTGAGAGCAACAAGGAGGGAGCGACGGGGCTAGGAGGTGGGGAGGAAGCAGTAGCGGAAAAGTAACCAAAAAAGAGGGAAATTAGGAAAAAGAACACACTCAGCGTTTCTCTTTCTGCAGTATGTCGACGAGTCGACTTCAAAGAAAATCCTCAGAACAGCTTGGAAACAAAAACGAGAGGAAGAGGCGGCCGAGAAAAGCGATGGTGATGTTTCGCAAGCACAGACACTCAGGTTTCGCTTTCTTTACCTTTTTATGTGTTTTTTGCACCTTTGCAACGCAAAAATGCGTATTGTCAAGGGATAGTCTGTGTGTTTGTCTGCACCGATTTTTCATCACCAGACCTGCAAAATCTGCAGGAATTTAATCTAGCTACATGCACGGGCCCTGTCTGTGTATGTATGTGTGTATGTGTGTGTGTATGTGTGTGTATGTGTGTGTATGTGTGTATGTGTGTGTGTGTATGTGTGTGTATGTGTGTATGTGTGTGTATGTGTGTATGTGTGTTCGTCTGTTCAGATATTTCAATTCGCCAACCACACAAGCTTTGAAGCTGAAATTTTGCCAGTATGTTCCCCGACCATGTGCCACCCCAGGACCGCAGTTGCAACCCTCACGTACGTCTGAGCCCCGCGTGCAACCAAGTAAAACTTTGGCAGGAAAATTGCTAACTCGGGTGTGAGAAACGCCGGACCGGAATGTTTCCTACTCATGTACGACCGAAATCAGCTGTTTAGAACCGCCTGGGACCCACGTACGGGCAAGTGAACCTTTTGGCGGGAAAACTGCTAACTCGGGTGTGAGAAAAGCTGTAAAGTTGAAATTTTAAGGGATGTTCCCTATTCATGTGCGACTAAAAGATTTCAAATTTAACTGTTTTGGTGGGGCCCTTCTCAAGCACCAACAGCTTTTTGTTTATTGCGTTATTGAAGCGGACATCTGCAGCTGACACATCGCATAGTTGCACAATTAACTTCCCTAATTCGAGGGTCAGTATATAGCAGGGTTTGCTACTGTGATTCATTGCGATCTTGCTACAGCACGAAAAGTGCAAAAATGCATGATCGCACCGGCTCACCTGTCAACCACACTGAGCTGGTTTTGCGAGTATTTCCATACCAGTAAAGAGGGGATAAGAATGAGGAAGAATGGGATTCTACTGTTTTCCTCAAGACGGTGAACTTTTGTCAAACCACAGCTGTTTTCTGCTTTTCATTTCCTGCCTTTTTTTTAGCATATTCTTGACTTTCAGCGGTTGTCATTTTGCCAATAGTCTTCAAAGTGAAATTTAGGACGCGGCAAGTGAGTCTTGGCGACATATCCGCGAAATCGGCGTCGGACGACGAGCAAGTTTCTGAAAATGAGGACTATGACGACAGCGTTGTGGTTAGTTCAGTGGCTTCTTAGAAACTTTGCATGAAATATTGAAGATCGGCGGGCATCATGCCACTAGAAAATAGCGCTTTTGTTGCGCTTAATTCCTGAAGTTTGACTTTACCGCTAAGACAACCAGTTCCTCTACGATTTGTTCCGCTCCGACAATAATCTGATGTATGGGCAATTACAAAAACTCGGCTTGTTCGGTCAGCGTCATATAAGATCCGCAAAAAATTTCTTCGGAGACCTGTTAGGGCTGCTTCGCAAAGGATGGCGATAGTTTGAATGGGCAGGTGAAAGTGCGGGGG